TTTCCATCACTCCCAAAACATTGTTCTTGCCCCTTTGGAGTCAATTCTCTCCCATACCTCTATCTTGGTTTCTGACACAAATCAAGCACAAATCTGCTTTCTTGATCATGATCACTTTGTCTTTTCCAAAATGTAATAAGCGACTGGGGTGTACTTCAGTTGTAGAATACCTGCCTAGCATGTTGAGGCCCTGGGTTTAATTCCCAGCATTGTAAAAACAAAATATAACATTAGTGGAATCATATAGTCTGTAATATTTTATGTATAGTTTATTTTTAGTTTATAGCAACAGTTTTATACTTTTTAGGTTTTTTTTGAGATTTACTCATGCTGTCGCAAAAATCTGTAATTCTTCCTTTATATTGATATGTAATAATCCATTTTATGCATACACCACCATTGTTTAGCCATTCCCTCGTGATGGAAATTTGAGCTATTTACTTTTTGACTCTGCAACTTAGCGAGACCCTCTGTCAAAATTTAAAAATAAATAAATAAATAAGGGCTCGGAATATAGCTCATTGGTAGGGCACCTTGGGTTGAATCCCCAGTACTACAAAAAGAAAAGAAAGTAAGATTTTCTCCTGAATTGGGTCTTTTATCCATTTTGAGTTAGTGTGTGTGTGTGTGTGTGTGTGTGTGTGTGTTGTTGCTGGGGATCAAACACAGGACTAGGTACGTTCTAGGTAAGCACTCTAATACTGAGTTAATTTTCATATATGGTATAAGAGTTCAATTTCCTTCTTTTGCATGTGGCTATCTAGTTTCCACATCACCATTTGTTGAAATGATGTCTCCTTTCCCCACTGAATGGTCTTGGTACCCTTGTCTAAAATCATTGCATTATATAATTTGAGGGTTTATTCCATTTCACTGGTCTGGCATAAAGTTTTTCTTTCTTTAAATATTTTTTAGTTGTAGATGGACCCATACCTTTATTTTATTTATTTATATGTGAGTGCTGAGGATCGAACCCAGTGCCTCGCACATGCTAGGCAAGTGCTCTACCACTGAGCCACAGCCACAGCCACAGCATAAAATTTTTATTACCATATCTTTGTTGTAAGTTTTGAAATGAGGAAGCATGGGACCTCTTACTGTTCTCCTTAAGGCAAAAGCTACTCCTGGCATTCACTGTTCTTCATTCTTTATCGCAAACTTACGAAGTAGATACTAATATCTTCATTTCGTAGTTGAGAAAAATTGAGACTTGGGGAGACAGAATTTCCTAGAGTCACTCACCTTGCAAATAGAAGAGCTAGGATTTGAATTCTGGGGCTTTCATGCCAGTGCCCAGAAACTTATCCCCTGTGTTCTCCCACTCTCTGCCCAGTGACCATTATGGTAGCATTGAAATGTTGCCAACTTGACACATTTATCTTCACTATACAAGGACATAACACCCCTGAGAAATGGCATAAGGAAACAGCTAATGATCAGAGAAGTGAAGTGGTTTTCCCATGTCCAGCAGCTTGTCAGTAGAATTTCTGGGACCTGAATTGGGTTTCCCAAATCCAAGTGCAGCCTCCTACAGAATGGTGCTTTGCAGCTACATTCTTTATTCCCAAATACTTGTTTCTTCAGTCTTCTCCTTCCTGCATAAAGATACCCTTCCCTTTCCTCTACCTTCCCCTACCCCTGGATCCCTTCCAAGGCATAGTGTGGGAACTGAGAGATGAAAAGCCCTAGAGCTCAGGAGCTGAGGTGTTAGGCATGCTAAGGCAGGGAACAGGAAGCTGGCATTATCTCTCTCAGGTCAGCTTCTTGAAGGAAGGGTATGCCTGGCCAGAATTATTGTGCAGGCTCCTCCTGATCCTTCCTACTCTACTCCTCCATTTTCAGAGAAAAGAATAAAGCTAAGGAGGGCAAGAATCTCTTCCAATGTGTCTTAGCAGAAGCAGAAAAACTTATGGAGGGGAGCATTAGGTGTAAGATGTGCAGCCCAGAAAGGTTGTTGAAGAATCAGCCTCATGTCACATACATTACTACCTCACCCTATTGTCCATGAGCTCCAAGTTAGGAGGCCAACTATCTCCCCACAGGTGCCTGCATCTTGGGGACTGTGTGTAAAGTGCAGGGAAGCCTAAAGAATCTTTGGTACAGTGATTTTGCAAAGGGCACGGGGGTTACTCCTCTAGAAAACATAACCCTTATAATTTTTAAAGAGTTTCCACATCTCTTCAGGTCATTTGATCTCCCCACCTATGTTGTAAGGCACAGGTGGGGTCACTACCACAGACCAGAGGCCAGTCTTCTCTACTGCCCCTTTCTTAGATTCCATTCTTCCACATATGGAGCTGGGTGGGGGCTAGACCCAGGTGGACCCTGGAGAAATCTTCTCTAGCTACTACCTTGTTATGGTTTAGATTTTAAATTTTTCCCACATTTTCGGCTTGGTTCCAAGGTAACAGGGTTCAAAGGTAGGGCCTTTGGGGGGAGGTAATTGGATCAAGAGGGCTTTATCAATGGATTCATAATTTAATGGGCTATTGGGTAGTGATGGAAACCTATGAGGTGAGGTCTAGTTGGAGGGAGTGGGTACTTAGGGACTATAGTTTTTACTGGCCCCTTTCTCTTTCTGATTCCTGGCTACCACAAGGTAAGCAGTTTTGCTTCACCACGTACTCACTACCATGATGTTATGCTTTGCCAAAGGTCCTAAGTGATAAGACAAGTGACAATGGATAGATGCCTCTGAAATCATGAACCAAAATAAAACTTTCCTCTCAGCCATTTTTCTCAGGTATTTTGTCACAGTGATGAAAAACTGACTAACACATATTTTCTTAGGAAAAGAACCTTCTCTACTCTGTACCTCCCCCAGTCCCTAATGCTCAACCCAAGCAAAGGGCTTCAGCTTCATCCTTGAACACTTAACTTGTGCCTACTGTATAGAATGTCTCCCATTCAGCTGCTATCTTTCCTGTACCCATCCACATTTTTCTCTATTCCTCTGCCCCCAAATTCACAGATATTGGGAATCCATTTATTCAGCAGCCCACCAGGGAGGTTCTCTGACATGCAGATTTAATGAGAATGCTTTGAAATCCAGCACAAATGTGAATGTTATTCAAATAAGTGCATAGTCTGGGGAGGGGAGCTGGCAGGGCAGACATGCAAGCAAATGATAACACTGGTACAATGAGAAGGGCTCTGGGAGGAGCTTCTAAGACTAAGGCCCAGGAGCAAGTGCTATTCTGCTGTCTCTTCAGGAGTACTGTTATTCTGGGGGAAAAGAACAAGTAGAAAGGACCAGGAATATCCAGAGAATAGAAAGAAGTTCCTTGTGACTAGACCAGAACTTGGGGTGAAGAAAGAGAAGAGGTATACTGGGAGATGCATGGGTTTGGTTGGATTCAGAAGGGCGTTTTTGTTCCTTAGAAGTCTGAGATCCTTAGTAGAGTATATATGTATATATCCAAAAGACCCCCTTATCATTGGGGGACACAGTCTAACATCCCCAATGGATGCCTGAAACTCTGGATGGTACCAAACCTTACACATAATAGGTTTTTTCCCTATACTTACATAGCTATGATCAAGTTTACTTAATAAATTAGGCACCGTAAAATATTAACAGTAATAGTGAAAAATAAAATAGGATAATTATAATGAAAAGTATCGCTAATCTTGGGCTTTGAGGACATTAAGTAATACAAGGGTTTCTTGTACACAGTACTGCAATACAATGTCAGTTGATCTGATATCAAGATAGCTACTAGCCATCTGCAGTGGCACACACCTGTAATCCCTACAACTTAGCTTAGGTAGGAAGATCACAAGTTGACAGCCAGGCTGGCAACTTAGTGAGACTCTGTCTCAAAATAAAAAATAAAAAGGGCTGGAGACGTAGCATCCCTGGGTTCAATCCTCAGCACTGGAAAAAAGAGAGACAGGTACTAAGTGATTAACAGGCAGGAAGTTTACACAGTGTGGAGATGTTGGACAAAGGGATGATTCATGTCTCAGGTGGAATAGAAGAGCTGGACATTGAGAAATTTCATTAACTCAAAATGCTGTGAAATTTAAAACATGAATTGTGTATTTCTGGAAACTTCTATTTAATATTTTTACCATATTGAACATGGATAACTAAAAACTACAGGAAGTGAAACTGAGGATAAGGGTGGGACTGCTGTATTAGGATATTTATGTGTGTCTCAGATTGGTACAGGGCAAAACAGGCTGTTTTTACACACTGGAGAACTAACAAATATAAGAGGAAAAGATCAAAATATAGTAATTTCATTTAATCGAAGTGCTCATATGTATTCTTTTTATTATACCACACAAGGGACATTATATCCATTATTCTATGTGACAAGACTGTTTTATTTGATTACACTCTGAATTTTCTTCTTGAACTCTGTCTCCCTTAACTTTTTTCTGTCTCCATTTACTGTATTAATGGTCATCTGTCCAAAACCTCAAAAATTAGAAGAAATTTTGACCTGAAATGTTTATATTAGCTGAGTTTGTGAACTGCAGATCTTGCAGCAGTGAAAATTTCCTTTTTCCCTTATGGTATCTTAACTTCATTCAGCCAATCCGATGTACTGGGTAATGACTTACCTTGGTGACATCTGCAAAAGTTTTTTCTAGAGAAGTTTTCCCTCTTATTTTAGGAAAACAGTGAGACCCAGCCAAGAGTCCTGTGACTACGCTTCCCAGCTGCCTCCGCTGGGCGCTGACTCCAACTTCCCTTACTAGGGTGTCCCCAGACATCTAGGCCCTGCCCATTCCTGGCACAAAGTCGCGAACTACGACTCCCAGCTGCCTTTACAGGCTGGACCCTTCATAGAAGGCTTCCCAGCAGCCTCCGGGTGAAGAGCTCCGCCCCTCAGAGCGGCTCCTCAGGTCTACGCGGAGCCTTCCGTCCGCCTCCGCCTCTGTCACGTGATTCATACCCGCCAACCCGTGCGCGGAGGAGGGCGGCAGGCGGTGGCCGGGGGCGGGGAGGCCACGGGGGCGGGGCGGGTGCCGGAGGGGGCGGAGCAGGGCCCTGGAGCTGAGCAGCCTGGCAACGGCGGTGGCGCCGGGAGCCCAAGGTGGGTGCGCGCTCACGGCTGGCCTGGCTGTGAGCCGGCCGCTGCGGGGACCTGTGATGGGGAGACTGGCAGCGGGAAGTTGGGACTCCACGGGCCGCCGGGTCGCGCGGGGCGTCAGCGCACCCGCTGGGGTGGGGGTGGGGTTCACCCGAGCTTCTTCGCTGTCCCCGCGGGGCAGGGCTGAGGCCGGGGAGCAGAAGACAGGTGCTTCTGTTTTCCCCCAGTTCTTCGGCTCACGGCGGGCGAAGGTCGGGACGGGAATTGGGGCTGCAACGCCGGGAGGCGGGGAGCAGATGTCGTAGGTGCTGCCTGTACTTTGCTTCCCTGTCCCGGGGAGGCGAGCGGGCCGGGCGGCTGCCCTGCCTCCTCGGCGACGCGCTGCGGCTGGTCCTCGCCCTAGCCTTCTGCGTGGGGTGGGCACCCGCCGCATCCCCCGTGGGCTCTGCGGAGTGGACTCAGCCTGGCACTGGATGAGAAACCATAATCGTCGCTCTGGTCCAGTGTTTCTGTGTATGCACGGGAGATTTATCTGCTTTTGCAACAGTTGAGGGAAGGTCTGAGAAGGAACGGTTAGTTCCCTGATACGCAGTCGGAAGTATGCACAGGCAAGAGCAAGCGCCCTCGGTCGGGGTGCCTTTTGCTGCGCTCAGGAAGTGAAAAAATTAGTATTATAAAGTGAATCTGTCGCACAAAATTATATTATGAACTTTATGGATGGATACAACATATCAGACGAAGTGGGTTGTGACTAGTTTTTAAGACAGATCTTTGCAAGAGCGGAATTGTAGCATTTTACAATTGACTGAGACCTCGAAGTTCACATAATTTGTTTCCTGGATGGGAGAACTGAGTCCCAGAGAGGCTAACTAATATAGCAAAGCTAGTATCACAAGCTAGGTATCGGGGAGTATATTATATGTCTAATCTGGGTTCTTTGTACTACATCTCCGTGTTATTAAGATAGAAGTCTCTATCTTATAGTCGTGAGACTGAGCCAGAAGTTTTACTGTGGTTCAGACCATTTTGGATTTCCTTCAAAATCAGTTTATTAGCTAGCTGAGATGATCGGGCTTGTTACTTTAGACACCTTTTGCTTTCATCCAGGGTATCTATTGGGCAAAGCAGGTATTCATCACGTTTGACTGAATGACTTCTGGCTATTTAACAAAATCAAACCCTAAAGAGATTCCACACCATGGAGAATAATTCAGAGTGGTGGTGCTCCTGATGTGCTTGAAGGTGAATAGCTTCATTCGGGTTTATAGAAGCTACTATGGTTATTAAATGACTTGTCTCCTTACCTTAAACTTCTAACTTATATTTATTAAATTGTTAGTGGTTTCATTCATTAAATACAGTTCCCACAGTGTCCTAAGGAGAGCGCACTACTGAGGAGTCCTTCTGGAATTTATGTGTGGGGATTCAGACAATTAAAAAAAATAAGCAATGATATTTTCCAGCAGAGCTGAATGTTGAAAAAATGAACTCTAAATCTCTACAATGACAGTAAAACAAACAGGCATGATCGAGAGTGACTTGGACATCACTTTGAACTGCTAGTTTTAGATTGTCAGCTGCTGCGCCACTAAAGCAAACAAATCCAAAAGCAAATCTGTCTGAATCCAACAGATTCTGTGGAGTCATCATTTTTCCCATGAGTGCCTCTTAGATAACTTTATCACAACCTTGCTTTTTTCCTCTTTACATGCAACAGTGTTTCCATACACCTGGGAAGGTGGTTTTCAAATCCCCATTTCTGTAGATAGCTGACTCTAACTACAGAAGGCTCTACTGGATTCTCAGGCCACCTTATACCATAGTTCCTCTTCTGCATGCTGGTTTGTACTGTGAACCTGTTATCTGAAATAATTGTCAATCTATGTATTGTGTGATTTGTAAAGACAAACCAGTTCATTTTGAACTAGCTCCAGAGTAAAGAAGCACTCAAGTTCTTAGTAACAAGAGCACTCACTAATAAAATGGCATTAGTGAGAACTCACTGTAAAAATTCATCTGTTCGGTACCACTCAGTCCTCCCAAATTCTGTATGTTCAGTGTCTTCAAAGCAAAATTTTTAAATTTACATATTCTGAAAATGAATAAAGTTACAAAAAATACTCCAGTAGTCTTCCTCCAAAATGAGAAAAGGATTAACAAAATGTACTTACTTTAGAAACCACTGAAAACACACAGCTCTTGGTTTTATTGAAGGCTCCAAAATAAAGAGAAAAGCAGAGACTCTTCAAAGCTCAGTAGGTGATATTCTTAACCAGTGGCCAGAGGATTACAAAGATTTGAGTTTCTATTTATTTCTAAAGTTTATTCAATTTTATAACAGAATGATAGGTTGTTTTCATCATTTAGTAATTTCCCTTCCCTCTTTCTGACCTCTTCAAAATTCTGCTTTCTTTATTTTCTAGTTTCTCAGTTCATTTATTCCTTTTTTTGGCAGATGGCGGGGCATTATTGCTCTGGATTGGGTGGTCTCCACAGATTTGAATCCTGGCTTTATTATTACTTATGTGACCCTGGGCAAGGGACTTGCCTCTGTCCCTGGGGTTCCTTATATGTAAAATGAAAATAATGATAGTACCTTCTTAAAGGGATGTTGGGAGGACTGAGTAGATAGTGTGTGTGTGTGTGTGTGTGTGTAATGCTTAGGACAGTTTTGTACATAGAGGCACTCAAGAAAATTTAGCTGTTATTAAATTGAACTATTTGGACCTCTTATTTTCAAGAAAAAAGATGTTCCTAGCCATGTCCTAATAAAATTTTAGAAATCCAGTAAGCTGGATATTCTAGACATTTCTTTTGCATTTCATTGTTGGTGTGAGATTTTAATTTCAGATGACATTGTTAGCAGTGTCCTCTGTTATTGCATAGCTTAATTTCCTTTACTACTTGGATTTAAAAATTACTTGCTTACTTGGGGCCAAATTTTGTTGTTGTTGTTGTTTTGTTTTTTTCGTTACCACAAACAACAGCCATAGAGAAAGAATGCCTCCTTGTGATCCTTCTCTTGTAGCTGGAGGACGAGCTTTCATTGGAAATGTTTGCTGTGTGTTTTTTCATAGCCAGTACCTTGACAATTATTCTTTTTATGAATTTGAAGCATCTCTTTAGAAAATTGGCATCGTGTACAAGTGCTTTCTTCCTATTTCTAACAGAGGAACAAGTGGTAAACGAACATGTTGTCCATGTGATGTGATAGGAAACTTCCTGCATTTGGATTCCAGAAGCTGGTTTCAAGTCTCATTTCTCTGCTTTAACTCTGTGACACTGGACAAGTCATTTTAGCTCACTGTTGGTGGCTTTTACATTTGTTAGACAGAGCTAATAACACCCAAGCTTTCAGAGTTCTTCAGAGAATCAGATGTGCATCAGAGCTTTCTGTAAGCTGTACACCATTATCATGGTTGCACTATAGTGTTATACAAGTCATAGTTGTTTGGAGAACTGGTTGTGAGGGCAACCATCATTCCTGTTATTGGCTCATCTTCTCCTTAACCATAGGTGTGGCCTCTCTGCCTCAGTCTCTCACAGCTGTCAGCATTAAAATATGCAAATATTTTAAGTGCCTAGTGAAAATGGCCTGAAGCCATTTGTTTACCTTATGAGTTTTCATTTTATTTTTTTCCTAAAAGGTAGTACTGTATAACCAACAATTACAGGGTGATAGCAAGGTGATTCCTGCATTAGGGAATTTTACCTGCCCCTTTCCCAAGTGTCTCAGAATAGAAGTCTTACCTTTTTCTGATCAAGACCCAACCTTGGCTCTTCAGTCAGCTTCAGGCCCTGTGCATTCCTCAGTCCATAATAGACTGGATGCTTGTGCTCCTAGGTTAGGATGAAAAGTGATCCGGGCTCTGGAGAAGAGATCCAGAGACTTGATTGCTCATTAGGTCAGTACCTCAGGCCTGGGCCTGAATGCCCTTGAATTCATTTCTCAGTATCTTGAAAGGACTCTTAACTTTGCAATTCCACATACTTACACTAGTTTTTTATGATTGGTCCTTGATTCTTTTTATTTATAGGCAACTCCTGCATATTTCAGTATTAATTTTTTTCATCTTCCAAACTTGTAATAAAGAGGTCTGAGGTCAGAGACATTTTTCTGGGTGTGTGAAACTGAACATGGCCCAGTGCACACAGTAAACAGTAAACATTCATTGACTTGCACTGGATGGGGGGGCACAGCATTGTTTGGACATGTTCACTTTAATCCTTATGAAGATTGTGCTCCTTGTCTGTGAGATGAAATGGAGCTTGTACTTAGCCTTTCTCTCCATGGGCAAATAAAAAATGGATAAGAAAGTTTGTAGAATCCAGTGATGGGACAGATCTCTCACATTGGCTTAACACCCCTTTCCTCCCAGCTTCTTAATCTTTGCACTGTGTCATCATGAACACTTTGAGTATAGGTTTTTGCTTTGCTTGCTATTATGTTTGGGATGGGGGGAGGTAGAGGAGGAAGTCACAGATTAAGAATTGAAAGGAAGAACAAAATTAACTTTTTTGTAACACATTCAGCTCTTCAGCTGTACAAATCTTGACAATACACAGTGGTGCCTTTTCTGTAGCATGTGGTAATTGTTATATTTTGATATCACGTCCTTGGACTTTCTGTGAGAAGAAATCAATCCATTTTGCTGAGCCTGTTAACATGGAATAGGCTGCAACATCAGGTCAGTGTCATCCTTTCCCCTCCATGGGAGCTACTGAGGCAGAGGTAGGTTTTAAAGGACATTCTTAGCATCGGGTGGTGGTGCTTTAAATTCCTTTATGGCTTGAGATTACTCAGGTGAGGATGCAGGAGAATGGGGACTGCCCTTACTTTTAGCAGGCCTGGAATTGGCCCTAGCTGTTTAACTGAGATAATAAATATACCTGTATGGCAGTGACTCAGGCTACGATGCAGAGGTGGTCATTACTATTGGTGGGCAACAGCAAGAAGGAAAGTTTGCTCTTGATTTCAGTAAGATCTTAGAAGGGCGCTGCCA